ACCAATGTCAAACTAACCGATCTCCCTCCAGGTTTTGTCGGAGCCCCTCCTGGAACCTTCTTTCAGTCAGCCAGGTCCAACAGGAAGCCGTCCAGAGGCCATATCTCTCCAGAAGTCAGAACTTGACAGACTCCTCTAGCACTAAGCCGTCATCGAAGATGTTCTTGATTCCATCGAAGGATCAAGTCCAACTTCCATACCACTTTAGCCATATTGTGATTGTGCTTTCCTACAATCAGGTATTTTTCAATTTAGATCCCAAAATTTTTGGATGCACAACTTTTGCTCATAACACAGCCCCAACTCGGAGTAAACTAAATCCCAAGTCCATAAAATGTGTTTTCCTATGATGCTCTACCACTCAACAGGGGTATCGGTGTCTTGACCCAACCATAAATAAAATCTATGTGAGTGTTAATGTCTCCTTTTTTGAAAAAGTTCCCTACTTTCCAACCTCATCCTCCGATGATGGGAAGCAAGAGTTCTTGGACATTGTTCCTTAAGCTACTATTGTGGATGCTCCCCCCACGTAACCTACCATCAAGAAACCCTCTATTCCTTTGATTCTGCCCACTTCTCCGATCACCAAGGAGCCCTCTGCCCCTTCGGTTCCACCAGCACATCTTCCCACTCTTCTTGTCTACACACGACGCACTCATTCTGATGCACCTACTTTGGAGCTTACTAGCCCCTGGTTGGACACTAAATTCCCTCCGAACGACATCCCCAACACTGCTCCTCCAAATGAAAAAGTCAGTTCCTCTAGTAAGATACGCGATCAAACATTTTCTATCATGTGGCAAACCATGTTTTTTTTTTTTTTTTTTTTTTTTTTTTTTTTTTTTTTTATTTTTTTGTAGATTATCGCCACCCTACAAAGCATTTTCTACAGTCCTGACCAAGCATCAGCTTCCATCTACTATTGAGGTTGTCTTAACAGACCGAGCTTGGAAAGCTAACGTCATGGAGAAGAAGAATGCTCTCAAGCGAAACCATACTTGGGATATTGTTGATATTCCTCGGGACAAGAAAGTAATTAGATGTCGATGGATTTTTAGCATCAAAGTTAAATTTGATGGATCTTTTGAACGCAACAAGGTACGGTTGGTTGTCAAAGGGTACTCACAGACCTACGGGGTTGATTTGAGAAGATAGTTGTTCTAGTTGCTAAAATAAATATCATTTGGGTCCTCTTATCCCTTGCAAAGAATATAGATTGACCCTTATTCTAGCTTAATGTCAAGAATGTGTTCTTGAATGGCGATCTTACACGGGAGGTATACATTACTCTTCCTCCAGGCTTTGACTCCACTGCCTCCCAGGGGTATGTAGATTGTGAAAATTCCTTTATGGATTAAAGCAATCATCACGGGCATGTTTCGGAAAATTCACAAAGGTGGTGGTAGGTGATTCACTCACGCTCAATCAGACCACACTCACTTTTTATGGCATTCCACCAACATCCAAGTAGCTATCCTTATTGTCTATGTTGATGATATTATTTTCGCAGTTAATGAACTACCAGCATTAAGTCTCTAAAAAGCATCATTAACGACTTGGGATCTCTCAGGTACATCTTAGGTAGGGAAGTTGCTCGGTCATCTCAGGGTATTTGTCTGTTTCAGCGGAAATATGTGATTTAACTTTTGACAGAGAATAATCTTCTCTTGTGCAAACTAATGGTTGTTCCAATGAATCCTAGTGAAAAACTTTTTGATGTTCCCAATGCAATTCTTATAAACAAGGCTCATAACTAGCGCTTTGTTGGGAAACTCATCCACCCTGCCCAAACACATCTCGACATATGTCACGCAGTTAGGATAGTCAGTCAATTCATGCATGATCTCTATGAACACCACCACCACCAAGTTGTCCATTGGATTCTTGATTATTTAAAAGCCAACGCGGGCTCAGGTTTTTTTTTTCCCGCTACACTCGTTCTATTGTAGTTACACTGACACAGATTGGGTTGGGTCTGTCCATGATTGGCGATCTACCTCGGGGTACTGCTCATTTGTGTGAGAAAGTCTGATCATGTGGAAAAGCAAGTGGTTTGTAGTTGCTTGAAGAGTGCAAAATCATATTTTTTGTCAATATCCCTGGGAATTTGTGAAACTCTCTGGTTACACATCATGCTCCACGAACTACGTATGACAGTCTCCACTCCCCTACAGTTGTTCTGTGATAACAAGGCAGTCATTAGCATTGCTCAAATCACAAATTTATCCAGACTCGAGCTTCTCCTTAATGAAGTGTCGGTCAATCTCAGCATGCTTGGTACGATCATTGGCAGATATTCTCACAAAGAACCTTCCTCGACCACTGTTCGATGATTTCAAATCCAAGTTGAACATGACTGTCATCTATGCTTTAAGTTGAGAGGAGTATTATAATATTAAAATATTAATATGCAAAATTTTGTATTAATGGCTTTGATTTACTTTTATTTACTTTCTCTTTTCCTTTTATTCTGTTTTTATTTGTTTTCTTACTAGTAGATCTTGTGATGGGTATTCATGCCCCTCTTAGCATGAATAAAATTACCCTGGTTCTATTCTAACAAAAGCTAACAGACATATTATGCATGTTATTGCTTAACTCCAGACACATTTCAAAGCTAACTACCAAGTGATGTATGTCATTATTTTTAAATCTGAATATAAAATATGATTCAATTTGAATATAGTATTGCTCAACTCCAGACACATTTCAAAGCTAACTACCAAGTCATCCATGTAATTATTTTTAAATCTGAATATAAAATATAATTCAATTTGAATATAGTGTTTTAAATAAAAATATCTAATCATCATATCTTGTACATCGTTATGTTTTAATTTGAATTCAAACTGGATACTAAAACTATGATTAATCTATTTAATCATGTATGTCAACAATTTTATCTGACAGCAAATTACATATATGCATATAATATTAACTTTAAATTTTAATGAAAAGTTTAATAATAGTTTAATTTAGTTTTATATTCAACCTTTAATCACTTCAGCACCAGTCAGGGCATCGCAATACAACAAACTATCTGGTTTCAATTGCTAGTGTATTGACTCGTATAAGGCTAAATAACTCATCAATGGATTGATTTTGATCCTGTGAGAGCACAAATGTTTCCATCATTTAATGTCGTCACTACTTTTGCCCAAGAATATGGCATTCGTTCTAAACTACCTGTATTGTTTGCATTGGTTTTGCATAATGAAAACATTAAAATGGGCTTTAATGCGGCCTGAGGACTTTAAACTCAAAGCTGAACTAGCATTGCCATTAAAAATTAAGGGGTCATTTGGTATCACTTTTTATTATTTTGTTATTAGTTGTATACTATTACTTGAAATAAAATATGTTTAGTATGTTATAATATGTTTAGTTATTTTTAAAAGCACCCAAAATAACTTTCATATGTTTGAGGGTTTTTAAAAACAAACTAATTTATTTTTAAAATAAAAAACATAAAAAATGCACTTAAAAAATGCATTTTTAAACAAAGACAAAAATAAAAAAGTTAAAGTGATCCCAAACAAGCCCTAAACAAATAAAACTTCAATATTAAAAAGAAACACCTGCAACAATTTCTTGCTTGGACTGCCCACAATGACTATTTCAGACAAACAGCTCCGATATGGTTACTATAACTTTGAGTACATACATTAATGTTAAGTTTTTCAGAATGACATGATAAAGATAGAAGAATATTCATCTAATTAAATGAGCATGAAACTACATAATTAACATAAAAAAATAGTTGAACTTTAGTTTTTTTCATGGACAGTTTATCTGAAAGCTACATGGCACACATCCATACCAATAATTGCCAGGTTCTTAAATATATTCATACATTCCCTGGATAATCGTTAATGAATGAATACATTGTTGGTTATCAGTAAAAGCACCATCAAATGGAACATCAGCGATGATATTAACAAGAAGTCAATGTTCAAAAGTACAACAACAAAATTTACACGTCTAAAATAATGATCAATAAACATAGGAAAAGAAAGAAATTTATTTAGATTTAAGAAAAATTCACTAATCACGAGTCTCACGTTCAAGATAGATTGATTGTAGATGGGATGGGTATTTCTATAAAACTTTGCCCAAGCCAATCAAAGCTATAATCAAAGTGGTTTTGAAAGTGACAACTAAATCTATTAGTTATGCATCAAGTTTTTTGCAACAGCACTTTGCTCAATATTGACTTTAAATGAGCTCAAACATTTGTGACCAAAACTGGAATCATCATAAGAAATCCAATTTAATTCAATGATAAGGAATGTCAATAACATTTGAAGAATATAAGATAACACAAAAAGGGCATTAAAATCATTCAAAAATTTACTACTTCACAGACATTAGCTCTTCTAATCATTTACAATATCCTATATAGTATTTTGAATTTTGAAACACAATCTAATGGTGTTCATGAGAAGTTTAAAATCACGGAATTAGATCGATAAGGATGCACATGAAAGAGTTAATGATAGAAATCAATATTGAAAATATCAAATAAAATCATTCCCGATCTTCATCAGCCCAATCCCAACTATTTTGTAGCTAGATTTCAATAATGTTCATTGTAAACCTAAAAGAACAATGTGAAGGAAACTATAGTTTTCCAAAAATCTCTCAGAACATATTTTAACAATGTCTACGTTAATTTTAACCTAACCCTATGCTTCATAATCAGTTAATCACTTCACATTCTTTCAAACTTAACAAATTTTCAGTCTCTCTACTTCTAGCTTTTCACAAGCACAAACAATCACATTTGATTTCCACAACCTGATCAACAGCATTCGTTATCCCATCATGTTCACTTTACCCCTTACTACTAACCCATCCCATCACAAAAAAAGAAGTTGCATGAATCAAAATCATTTTTAACATGGAACTACATGAACACTACATAGAGACCAAGAAGATGCGAGATCTAAACGAGTTTAGTTAATAAGTAATCATAAAAACAACCAGCGCTTGAAGGATACCGTAGTCGTTCATGAATCTTTTATGCCGATCCAAAGCATTAAGACCTCGAACATGAGATTGGTATTGCCTGCGACCAGAATTCAGGGTTCGCGTTAGTTCGAATTAGGGAATAGAATCGAATGCGAAATAAGCGCGCAGAAAAGCTAGAACTTGCATTTTTCTTTCCTCCCTATCGAATACAGCCGACTTCAGCGAACCAAAAGATGCCATTTCTATCTTCCTCACCCTCCTCTGAAACCCTTCAGTGAAACCAAGCGCCTTCTTCTTCGGATTTCTCCGCCGGTAATCGTAAGCGATAAGGGTTTCGGCTTACACCTACGATCCTTCTCTGTTCGCATACAGGTTATGAGAGCTAAAATTGAATGATGAAAAATGTATTTTCACACTTCATACATCACCCCAAAAAAATCCAATTAAACATAGATCTTTACGAGAATATTTAAATAGAATTAAAAAGATCTAGGCCATTGGTTAAAGTCTAAGTTTTAAACTCTACTAATTACTCATTTTTTTCAAAGAGAGAGTTTTCATTTTTTGTTGATGGAAGACCCAACTGCACCAATTATCTGATCGGATACAGTCGTTTGAGCCAAGATCGAAATAGACCAAGCCACGAAAATGAAGAAGAAAACCAAATGATCTAGCTCGAACCACTTAGACTGAAATGAGATAAATAGGCATTTGAGATAAACACTACAAAAAAACTGACCCAATCTAATAGCCTACCTTCAGGTAGATTCGATCTAAGGAAAGATAAAGTTTCACAATATCACCTACTATCCCACAAAGCCCCCCAAGGCTTCTCATCATGAATCAATAATTAACGATGCAGCAAAGTGTCTTATAGTCATTCCTCGGTCTCTCTTCGTTAATAAGTGAGCTACCTATTGAGTTATGATGGTTCACTTTCTGATTGATAGTCCATTGTCGCTATGTTGCACGAGTTCCTCACCGAGGATTAAGGTTCAATAACTATAGTAGATCAATCAATCAACCTGTTGAGTAATGTGAAGACCTGATCCACCGCAATTTAATTAGCTTCCTAATTAAGAATCTCACCTACCGCTCACCTACCACACCCATCTATTGCTCACTTACCTCTCACCTACAACTCAGTTTCAATAAATAGCCTCTTATGGCTTGTCATAAGTCAAGCAAGACCAAGCCAAGTCTTCTAAGAGAGTAAGGGAGGAAGAGAAAGAGAGAGAGGAAGAGAGAGAAGAAAAGAGAGATTTTATTGTACACATCGAGGCGCTCGACTGTGTAATTCCTCGAAGTGGTAAAATCCTCTGCAGCTTCGTGGACGTAGGCAAATTTGTCGAAACACGTAAATCTACATGTCGCTCTAGTGTTTTTCTGCGTGCAAGTTTTTTCGTTCCATTTTTTGCTTTATTGTCGTTGTTTTTCACTATAACTGATATCAGAGCTTCAGTTCAGATCTAAGGAAGAACGATGGCGGAAACAAAGTGATGAAATTGGGGATCGAGAAGTTTAATGACACAGATTTTATTTATTGAATGGTGCAAATAGAGGACTACCTCTATAGAAAGAAACTTCATCCTATGTTACTGGGAAAGCGACCAGAAAAGATGGTCGGCGACAAAACTTCGATTCCGGCTGCCTACTCTTCCAACGGACAACTCCTCCAACCAAAAATATAGTGTCGATAGTCATTTGTGTGGGATGTCTACTTGAATTATATGGGACTGTGTTCAATCTCCCATAGTCCAAAACATTTGTTCGGACATCCTGGTATGTGCCTTGAGCACAAAATCAAGATCAGTACCGATTTAGCCCTGTCAGGAAAGCTCACTGTTGGGTGATGATAATTCTGATACAGAATGTTCTTAATGCCCATTTTAGTGTTTAAAGACCATATTCTGTCTATTTGGAGCCTCTATGGTTCAAACAAGCAATAAAATCTTTTATCTGGCACTCCAAGTGTAAGGACCTAGCATGATCACGCTCAGAATAGGCGTGGCCACCCCTTACCCTTGGCGTGACTGCACCTTACTTAGACGTGGGTCGTGACACATGTAGTGTGGCGTGACTACGCACGAAACAACCACACCAAATCCTCATAGGCTCGCGATGCCTTTTAACTGGCGTGACCACGCTCGAGGATGGCGTAGCCATGCCAGCAAACAAAGACTTCAACATAATTAAGCTGGCTCACTGGTGTGACTGTTCCAGTTTATTTTGTTTTCACGTTTTGTTCAGTCAATCCCCAAAAATTTACCATTAACGAGCTTTAAACCATTAAAAAATAGTTTTCTTCCCGTTTCTTTTTGCCAGTTATGGAAGAGAACCAAAAGACAAAGCTTGGTTTCCATTTTTTGATGAAAATCATATAGAATAGCAGCTAGGCGGCCTTGATCCAGTGGGTATCGTAGAAGAAGATGAGCTAAGCTGGCTGGCGTCTTGCGAAGGTGGGGCATCGACATTCATTCAGGGTGGAGATTAGGGAGAGCATTTGGAGAGAGTTGTGAGAGCTTTTTGGGAGATTCTGGTGCAATTCTTCCAGCTTTTTTGTCATCTTCTTCGTCTTCTTCTTACTCAATGTTTCTAGGATCTTCATTTGATCAAATTCAATCACAGGAGGCGAATCCATTAAGTGGAGAGCCTGTGGAGAAGCTTGGAGGAGCTGTAAGAAAGAATTTTGGAGGATTGGTGAAGGATTCTTTCTTCTTCATCATTATCTTCAATATCTTCTTCATTTTTTCTTCTCTTTTTCCTCCCAAACATTTTGTTTGTCGTTGTTCTTGTTTTCTGGTGGAAAATGAGGGATTATGTTGAGATTGCTTGGAGCTTCCCTAGACTTTCTTCAAGGAGAAAAGCTTCTTCTACCTCTGGAGAAGTAATGAAGCTATCGTCGCCGGTGCGAGGTTGGATATTAGAGCAAGCTGATAAAATGCTTATCCAACTGCTGCATATATGAGATAGACATTGATTGTAATTTTTGTTCATAGCAATCCTTTAGGTTTTGTGTTAGAGAATTCAGGCTAGGATTTTGTGTTAAAGGAGGTCGATAGGTTAGGGAGACATTTTCATTGATTGCCTTATGAATCTGAGAGATTTTTCCATCAATCCTTAGCACATTGATCTAATTGCCCCGGGAGCACGATTATATCGTGATCGTTAGGCGGCTTCACCCCTTGATGAATGGGTTGAAGCCACCTCGATCTAGAGAACGAAAGATTCATTTTATTCTCGTTTCCAAGGTCGTGAAGGCCATGTACATGAAGGAGAACCTTCATTTTCATGGAAAAGCCCCTTCATGTTTTGTCGGATGATTAGAGGTAGGCCCACCATTATGTTGTGTAATGAACGATAGCTACAACTTCATCGCACCCAAGGGCCTATGTGAGAACATTAAGAGTTTTTTGACGCAATCAAGATGTGATTGTGTATGTTTGTCTCGTGCATGCAATCATTTCTGTAAAATTTGTATTTTAAAATGATTAAATTTGCATGTTTTTTTGACTTGACTGCTCGCTGCAGGTCGGCTTGAATGACTGCCAGGTATCGTTCGTTTCGATCGATTTTTCCTCATCAGACGCCTTGATCAGTTAAACAATATTGGTCAGCTTGACTACTAGATTTAGGTCAGCTTGACCAGCCGCCTGACATTGTTTGGTTCGATTGGTTATCCCTCGCCATATGCCTTGATCTATAGACAAATATTGCTCCGCTCAGCCGCCCGCTTTAGGCCAGCTTGGCCGGCTTGACCGACCACCGAGTCTCATTTGATTCTACTGGTCATCACTCGCTGGATGACTTGATCGGTCGCCCGATACCAATCAACCTGGCTACATATTTTTGTGTGGCCCATTGTGATTGCTTTGCATATTGCGTTTAACATGTTCATGCATGCATAACACACCCTTTTTTTAGCATGTGATTGTCACATTTTGTGTAATTACATTGAGCATGCAAGTCAAATGTCCTAATTTTTGGACTTGTGTGTGGTTTAATATGCTACATATGTTCGCTTGAGCAATTGTAGCATGCTAAACCACCTTAGGAGCACAATGTGAATGTTCACACCTGTTGGAGCATTCATATTATGTTAAATTGTTTATGATGTTACATATGTTCGCTCGAGTGACCGTAGCGTACTAAACCGCATTCGGAGTACAATATGAAAGTTCACACCTATTAGAACATTCATAATGTGCTCAATTGTTTAGTATGCTACATATGTTAGCATGAGCGATCGACCGTAGTATGTTAAATTACCTTTGAAATATAAGGTGAATGTTCACACCTGTTGGTACATTCATATTGTACTCAATTGTTTAATATGCTACATATGTTTGCTTAAGTTACTGTAACATGCTAAACCCCCTTTTTTGGAGTAAGATGTGAGTGCTCACAGTTATTGGAACATTCATATCATGATCAATCACTTAGTATGCAATGCATGTTCACTCGAGCAACTGTAGGATGCTATCTTATATTTGCTTCTTGCATGCACAACACCTAGTCCATTTAGATGACAAGTTGAATCATTAGAAGAGTGACTCGTTTGTTGGTCGTCATACCCAAACAAGCTTTGCTCACAAGGATAGCTCGGCAAGCAATGCAAGTTTTTATCTTATGACCGACATGTGTATGACTGTGTTAATGTTCAAATGACTCTAAAGTATGTCCCTTGCATTTTACATACCCACATTTAATAGTTACACTTTAAAGTGTAAAAATGAATATTTTCAATCATGTATTATTCGCCCTACTTTTTAAAATTATATAAGCTAGTTCATATGTGAGATTTATTAGTTAAAATATCATTCCATACAAATGTATTTAGATCTCTTAGATCTTTAGGACAGGGTCGTTGTCAACAACCTCATCAAAGTCATACACCTAGACTTTACACTACACCATGCACACACACTTAGATGTTGTGACCAAGACTTCATGCAGTAGATGCTATGCTAAGGTAGGAATAGAGAGCTTAGGTAGTTTTTTTTTTTTTTAATGTCTGACTATTATTTCTTGTTGTTTTGTGCCCTAGCCAAGCATTTTTATGTGATGTTGTTGGCATCAAATTTTGATGACATGAGTGTAGGGTGTCCATTTGAATGACTCGAGATGACTTGGTGTCTATTTATATCATCCTAAAGCTCCATCTGGACCTCTTTGTACGTGTCATCAGCACAAAATAGGGATCAATACCATATTTTTCCCTGCCCGGGTGAATTCACCGCAAAATGGTGCTAGTCCTGGCTTTGGAGGTCTGTTACGAGTTTTCTAATGTTGAGAGAACTAACTTCACAGCAATCCTGAGTCTTCTGAGGCTAAGGGAAGTCGCAAAGACACCCCAAGCACAGTTTTGAAAATTTTGGGTTCAGACTAATTTTACCCCCGTAGGGGTTCGG